CTCTCTCTAGATCTCTTCCATGGCCACTTTGAGATAATCCTCTGATTTTTAGTTTCTAATCACAACCAATGCCGAATCATGTCCCTAGAAGCTCCGAAAAGTTGTCTCTGCTCCAGAGATCCAAGACTTTACCAACGTACCGGAGATTTACAGCTCCTGAGATTCCCACTTTCAGATATGGATCCGTCCCTAACGACGACTCCGACGGTGATACCAGTAACTTCGTGGCGGGAAATCGGACGCCGGAGCTGAATTCCGAAGCGTCGCCGAGTCAATCCCCGAGTCAGAGGATTACTCGGTTGTGGACTCATTTTTCTCTCACTCATTGCGTATGTTATATTTTGGCTTTTCTCCTCTTCAATTACTAATCTTGACCACATTCTTCATATGTTTCTTCTTGTTTGTTTCCATTGATGGTGATCTCTGATATTGAATTTTGTTTTTGCTCATCTTCTTTTTACTCTTATTGCAGCTCAAATTCAGTTGTTCGTTTTCTTTTATGTATGTCATGTTTCTTCGGGCTGAAGTTGCAAAACTAGAGGTACGTTTATATATACGTTCTGTTTACAAGATCAAGAGCCGGTAGTTCAAATAGAGTGTTAAATGGTTCTGGTTTTTTCTTCCTTTTATCTTTTTTGAGTTGAGGACAAGTTTTGTTTCGTTTGGAAAAGATAGTTTTGTTTTTGGCTTTTTCCTTCTCTTTAATTCTTCAAGGTAGGCGTTTTTGTCCTCTCTCCCAACTTCTGTTTCTTGTTACAGGCAGAGAACTTTATCCTTCTAGCAGCATGTAGCAGTAGCAGACCTCCAGGCAGTGACAACAATGGACCTTTAAAGCTGGAACATACTAATAGTAGAGCTCTTGTTTTATACAGTGTGACTATCACCCTTTTCTTGCCCTTTTTGTTGTACATGTATCTTGACGATCTCTCCTTTGTCAAGAATCTACTGAAACGAACAAATCAGAAGAAGGAAGAGATTCCCCTCAAGAAAAGAATTGCATATTCATTGGATGTCTGTTTTTCAGTATATCCGTATGCTAAGCTGCTCGCCCTTCTGTTTGCAACTGTACTTCTTATAGTATATGGTGGCTTAGCATTGTATGCAGTTAGCGACTGTGGGGTCGATGAAGCCCTTTGGCTATCGTGGACTTTTGTGGCAGATTCGGGAAGCCACGCAGATAGGGTTGGTGTTGGACCAAGAATAGTTTCTGTGGCTATAAGCACAGGAGGTATGTTGATATTTGCTACAATGCTTGGCCTCATTTCAGATGCTATCTCCAAGATGGTAGATTCTCTACGGAAAGGGAAAAGCGAGGTCCTTGAAAGCAATCATATACTAATTCTTGGGTGGAGTGATAAATTGGTATGCCTTTCAACCATCTTTTGTAGAATAATTTCTACTTTACGTGTTGCCTTGGCTACAGATAGTTTAGAAACAGAGAAAAACATGTATGCAGGGTTCCCTCTTGAAGCAGCTGGCAATTGCAAATAAAAGCATTGGTGGAGGTGTTGTTGTGGTGCTAGCGGAACGAGACAAGGAAGAGATGGAGATTGATATTTCTAAATTTGAATTTGATCTAATGGGAACATCAGTTATATATAGAAGTGGCAGTCCACTTATACTCGCTGATCTGAAGAAGGTAAAACCTGAGTCTCTATGTTTAAATTGCTCAAGTCCTGGCTTATCGTGAAGCTTCTGACAGTGAAGTGCTCTTTTTCTTCCGGTTGAAACCTTTGATCTCTGCAGGTGTCAGTTTCAAGTGCACGGGCTATCATTGTACTAGGATCTGATGAAAATGCAGATCAGGTCGTCTCTTGTTTTCCGTCACTTCTTACTCTATGGTATTACTGTTTCTTGTGAAGTATTAACCACTTTCAGGTAACATAAACAGAGCGATGCACGTGCCTTGAGGGTTGTGCTTAGTCTTACAGGAGTAAAGGAGGGTTGGAAGGGGCATGTTGTCGTTGAAATGTGTGATCTGGACAACGAGCCCTTGGTGAAGCTTGTTGGTGGAGAGCACATTGAAACAGTTGTAGCTCATGATGTGATTGGGCGCTTAATGATACAATGCGCTCTTCAACCTGGCCTTGCGCAGGTTAGTCTGTCCAGCTAACCTGAAGAACACTTGAAAACTCAATTAACTTAATGAGACAAGTCCATGAGAAAGCAAAAAACGAAGAGAAGCATGTCTGTATTGATATTTAAATTGTTTATGTATTGTGTCCTATACCAACTTTCTAAAACTGGAGTACTCAGTGTGTGTGTAAACTGAAAAATATAGAAGCTACATGCCCCTACTAAGCATTCTTTTAACTTCATCTAGTATATTTCTAAATCCCAGGAACAGATACTACATGCTTTCTTCTGCTTTTAACTCTTCTTAACTGTTCCTTCTACCATTGCCAGATATGGGAGGATATTTTGGGTTTCGAAAACGCTGAATTTTACATAAAGAAATGGCCTCAGCTTGATGGTTACCGTTTTGAAGATGTCCTCATTTCATTTCCCAATGCAATTCCCTGCGGAGTTAAGGTTGCAGTGGATGGGAAGATAGTTTTGAATCCTAGTGACAACTATGTTCTGGAAGAAGGAGATGAAATACTTGTCATAGCCGAGGATGATGACACTTACGCTCCTGGTTCACTTCCAGAGGTATGCTTCTGTGTAAATTATGCATTAGTTTTTTTTTGTTATGGTGTTTTCATGAATCTTCCTGAATGTTTAGTGTGAATGAATTACCAGCTAAAAATTCTAGTACAATCCCTGTCCCTTAATCTACTTATTGTAGTACACTTTTGGTGGTAGGTATCATGTTATGCTAACATGATTCACTAAAATTTCTATACTGGTTCATTAATTACATAGAATCGTAATCCCATTGTAGGTACGCATGTGTCATGTTCCAAAAATGCAGGATCCTCCAAAATATCCAGAGAGAATACTATTTTGTGGTTGGCGCCGTGACATTGATGATATGATCAAGGTACATGGTATATCAAAAGAGAGAGAGGAGAATTATAGCATAAATAAGTAGTAAACGTTGTTCCACGCAGGCCACATGCAAATTGGTTGTAAACTTTTCTAACCCTGTAGGTGCTGGAAGCTTTGCTTGCACCTGGATCTGAGTTATGGATGTTTAATGAGGTTCCAGATCAGGAAAGAGAGAAAAAGTTGACAGATGCAGGATTAAATATATCCAAATTGGTGAATATAAAACTTGTACATAGGCAGGGAAATGCAGTAATCAGGCGTCATTTAGAGAGCCTCCCTTTAGAAACTTTTGACTCTGTGAGTTCTCTGGCATTTCTTCCCCTTTTTTTTGTCTTCCTGGTTGGTGTAGCTTGAGAATAAAGACGCCACTTTCCACCATCTTCATGATTACCAAATCAAATTGCAGATCTTAATTCTTGCAGAACAGTCACTGGAGAACTCTATTGTTCATTCAGACTCCCGATCTCTTGCCACGCTTCTCCTTATTCGAGATATACAGGTATGTATCCTGTGTCTTTCTAAAAGAAACAAATATGTTGATAGTATGTATTCAGTTGTGCTATCCTCCTAGGAAAGTTCAATCTTAACATGGTAGTTTATTCAAATTCTTGAGGTTTTGGGGTTTTGTTTTATGTCTCGACGTTGCTTCTTGCTCGTATGTGCCACTTCGGTTAGTTTTTGACTTTTTGGCTTTCAGTTTTAAGTATGTCTGGAAATTCAGGCATGCATGTCTCTTGATCTCATAACTGAACTTAGGTATATATGACTATTAATGGAAGCTGCTATTTTAATCAACAGTCGAAACGGCTTCCCTACAAAGATACAAAGTCAAGCACTTTACGGATATCTGGGTTCCCCAGTTGTTGTTGGATCCGTAAAATGCAGCAAGCTTCAGATAAGTCGATTGTGATAAGTGAAATTCTGGATTCAAGAACAAAGAACCTTGTATCTGTGTCCAGAATCAGTGATTACGTACTATCGAACGAGCTAGTTAGTATGGCTCTTGCGATGGTTGCGGAGGATAAACAAATAAACCGCGTTTTGAAAGAGCTTTTCGCAGAGAAGGTATTTTCCTTTATTCAGACATTAGAAAGGAACTTGCTTTGCTTTATGATGCTGATTTTTCCTAATGAGTGGACTCGTTTGTGTTGCAGGGTAACGAATTGTGCATAAGACCTGCAGAATTCTACATATATGACCAAGAAGAGGTTTGCTTCTATAAGATAATGAGAAGGGCTCGTCAAAGACAGGAAATCATAATCGGTTATCGTCTTGCGGGTATGGACCAAGCTGTGATTAATCCTTCAGATAAATCTAAGCTTAGAAAATGGTCCCTTGATGATGTTTTTGTAGTCATCGCCTCAAGCCAGTAACTTACAAAACCGTAGCTGAGCCCTTCCCGGCTTCCTGTATTTACATCTGATCTCGTTTGTTTAGGTCAAAATGTGACCATTAGGTTTATCTTTTTTGGATGTATAACAGATTTGAAAATAAGGTAACCAGCAAAGGTATCCAAGTGAAATGATGTATATTTGCAGTTATAGCTAAAACGAGGCACAAATACAATCATCCAACAAAAGCAGCAAGAGCATGTTCCAGATCATATGACTTGAGGACACCACACCACTTGACCTTTCCTCGGATCGCTACACTCTTTATGCCTTTCAAGCGCAATTAATGCACACCAAATCATCTTGTTCTCATAGTAGCCACAGGTATGCACAAGCTTAGACAGTCCTTTCAAACTCCACAAATTCATGATTCCAATACCAATCTAAGGCATTCATCATACACTTGGGAACAATAATGGTACGATACGTTTTCAGTCACGCAATAAAAAACCATCTTCGGGTTTGTAAACCACACCATTAGACAACAATCCAAACATATAAAAGACCTTTTCTTTAATTCTTGGGGTTTTCCCTTTGAATATATGACATGACAAATATGTTATTTAGGAC